GACAAAGCAGCTCTATTAATTGGAACCACATCCACAACACTCCCTCCATTACCAACCCTTGGTCGCAGCATCTCCAAGATGCACTGCAGAAATTCACCACGGCTCCCTAGTCAGCACCTTCCAAATTCACACCCACTACATCTAGAAGAACAAGGGCAGCAGATACCATGACCAGCAAATTTCCCACGCTGACTTAGAAATGTATAATTATTCCCTCTCTATCACTTGGTCAAAACCCTGGAATTCCTACCGAATGGCATTGTGGGTGTATCCACATCTAATGGATAGCAGCAGTTCAAGAGGACATCATCCCCACCAACGCTGCTCAGCCAGTGATTCCCACATCCCAAGGGAGAATGAAAAATAAAAAAGTTCTTCTGAAATGAGATAAAGGGAGGGAATGATTGAGATGAAGTGAATTAATAGTTAGTGGTTGTGCAAGAGCGGGAGAAGTCATAAGAACATGAGAATGTAAGAAATAGGAGCAGGAGTAGGCCATCTGGCTCCTCAAGCCTGCTCTACCCTAATAAGATCATGGCTGATCTTTTCACAGACTCAGCTCCACTTACCCACCCGCTCAACATAACCATTAATTCCTTTATTGTTGAGAAATCTATCCATCTTTGTCTGAAAAACATCCAACAAGGTAGCTATAACTGCTTCACTGGGCAGGAAATTCCAGATTCATAACCTTTTGGGTGAAGAAGTTCTTCCTCAACTCCAGCTAAATCTGCTCCCTCTTGTTTTGAGGCTATGCTCCCGAGTTCTAGTTTCACCCACCAGTGGAAACAACCTCCCTGCTTTAATCTTATCTATTCCCTTCATAATTTTATATGTTTCTGTAAGATACCCCATCATTCTTCTAAATTCCAATGAGTACAGTCCCAGCCTACTCAACCTCTCCTCATAAGCCAAACCTTCTCAACTCCAGAAGTGTGCCCATAGAGTAAGATGGTGCAAAGACCTATTGGAGTGGGAGGTTAAGGTGGGTGAGTGCTATTGAAGGAAGATGCTGTGTGCAACCATGATAGAGCTGGAGCTTTGGTATGAGTTGTCCAAAGTGGCAGAGTGAGTGTGAGGTAGTACGTACCCTTGAAAAGTGCACAATGTTGTCAACCTTCTTTTCATACCACTCTGGAGACAGCACTGACATGTGGGCCTATCTCTAACCAGGTTGACAGTGTCTGGTTCCATAATTTCTGTTGGCGGTCCTGAGGAAAGAGAACTATTCCCCTTCTCCAATAGCCTGTTGACTGAGACCTGTAGGTACAAACTATGGTCCAGCATTTCTTTCCCAGCCTTGCTATGTGGCATTGCAGTAGAATAACATAGTCAGATGAGCACTTCATAGTTTATAGGATTTGGAACATTGTCACGTCAGCGTCCATGCTGTGAATACCAGTCGGTCCCAACACTGGTGAGCACATCAGCCTCTGCTGACCATGTGTTGCATGAGCAGATTACCAAAGAACCCAAAAGCATAATGAATGATGTGAACAGGACCCAATCAGGAAAGCTTCCATGAGACTCACTGAAAATGTCATTTTATCAAAAAAAGGAAAATTCAGTCTGTAGCAACAATTTAATATCTGTGGTGTTTCTTTATCATTATCTATAGCTTTATGTTGTCTTTATCCCATATTTTGCTTAATATTTTTTAGCAATTTACTTTCATAGTTAATATTTACCATATTGATTTTTGACTTCTCTTCAAGAGTCTTTGGACAGCTCTCCTCTGCTGTCTATGTTTGACTTGATTTATTTTGAAACGTTACTAAGTACAGTGAAAAGTTTTGTTTTGAATGCAGTACAGCCAGATCATACCATACAGAGATGATAGGGTGATTGAACAGTGAGGAATACAAACTTAAGGCTGCAGAGATGGTGTACAAAAAGCAAGATCAACATAAGATGTGAAATTTGAGAGGTCCATTCAGAAGTCTAATAACGGCAGGGAAGAAGCTGTTCTTGAACCTGTTGGGACATGTCTTTAAGGGTTTGTATCTTCTGCTTAACAGAAGAGATTGGAAGTGATTACAACTGGGTTGGGAGAGGTCTTTGATGATATTGATTGCCTTTTCAAGGCAGTGAGAAGTGTAGATGGAGTCAATGGATGTATATCTTCTATTCAATTATTTTCAGGGTAGTTGAAAATGCCAACCCCCACAAGATTCTGTTTCGTACTCAATTCTTTAATTGGTCTGCATATTTCTTCCTATTATTCCCTTCAAATAGCAAAGGGAATGTCGACTACAATATGAGGTTGATAAATCCTTAACTGAATTTTCATTTCTATTTATAGTATTTGACTTTCTCTCTTGTTAATTACTGCATCTCTATAATTACTGCCATTATGTCATCGTAAATAAGTACAGATACTCCACATTACTATTTTCGTCTGTAACTTTATTGAATATGTTATGATGCAATATTTCATTTCCAATCCTGGCTTTTCTGGCCTGCATGTTTCAAGATGGGACTGCTAACTGTGTCTAAAGCAATTGAAGATGGTAAGTTTTGCAGAGAGGGAACAGACACAGACTGAACCTCCTAATCCCAGTTTTTCTTCCTTTTACTCCTTGGTTAAGATTGTTTAATGTTATACACACCTATAGCATGTAAATTAGGTGGATCAGCATGGGAAATGCAGACTTACAGCGATAGGGTGGAATGCTCTTCAAAGGGTCGATGGGCTGAATGGCTTGCTTCCACAGTGTGGGGTTCCTATGAACACATCCCGTAATAATACCTGAATGTCCACTTTCCTTTTCCAGGAAAATAGAGAATCATTTTGAACAGTAAAACTGAAAGAACTGCAGATGCTAGAAGTCAGAAGCAAAAGCAGAAATTGCTGGAAAGGCTCAGCAGGTCTGACAGCATCTGTGGAGAGAAATCAATTAACGTTTCAGGTCCGGTGACCCTTCCTCCGATTTCCTCTCCAGCAATTCTCGTTTTTGTTTATTGTTTTGAACAGCCTGGTTTCAGCAGTGATAATTCTTCTGTTGTTGCTTCTGTTGAGTGCTGCAACATCAGGACTTTTTTTTTAGAAAAAGAGGTTTTCAAATGTTCAATTATGCAATTGGCCATTGATACACAACTGAAAAGTAATCGACAACAGTAATCTGTTTATATTAACAAAATAGTTTTGACTTCATGATCAGAATTACCACCAATAGAGGAAGATAGCAATCTTTAACATATCCTCTTGTATAATCAGTTCATCAGCTGTCCTTTGTTATCTGGCAGACCTAGAATCAGCACATAGAACAATTTGTTGGCCTTACTGTTTTTGGCTAAGCCTTGACAATGACAGTTATGCCAGTCCACAATGTTGCCGAGGCTTGTCTATTTTAGATGCTTCCAAAACCTTGGCCACCTCAACAGATCCAAATGTCAGGTGACCTGTGACAGCCATCTTTAAGTAAACATTGTCCTTTTCAGAAAGGGCATTTAGTTTTACTTAAAAAAAAAGTCCTCATGAATGCTTGGCATGTCAATGAGTAAGAATAACGCATTGTAGGTCAGTAAATTAATTTTAGTGATGTTTGCCTATGGTCTTTTCAACATTGTGAGTGGATCGGGTATTAGGATAAAGGGATTTGAACAGGAAGGGGTGAAATGAATAGGCACTGAGCCTAACACAGTGAGAGAACTTTGGACATAGAGTCATTGCTTAAAGGATGGCATAAGTTGAAAATATGGCAAAAGTTGAAAAGAATGTAAGAGTATGATTTGGATCTGCGGCAGGCATTGGGAGAGGTTTGGGATGATGAAAATGTGAAATTAATTGCACACTCAGATTCACATACAATTACATCCACCCACATGCATTCTCAATTTTACTCAGAAATACACACATCCACATATGCATGCATGCTCATTCTGTCATACATGCATGCTATCTCACACTCTCACTCATCCATACACACATCGTGATTAAGAATAAAATTATATTTCACTTATACATACACACATTTGATGAGAGATGCACACTGTCATATGCAGTCAGGTCTATCCATACACATATTCTATTTGTATACTCATATATATTGTCAAAATCAGATTCATATCTGTCCCAGATGAGGATAGCTTTATATTGAAGGTCACAACTCACAACAAAGACATTAAGTCTCAAAGAAAATTCAGCAAGCCTTCAGAGATAAATGTTAATTCTGAGATTTTAGTGCACCATAAAAGAGAGGTTTAGAAATACCAGAAGGTCTGGGTAAAATGGATAAAGTGTGATGGAAAGTCAGCAATTCTCCGACATGGTAATCAAATCATTAAGGGACATTCATCAAGGTTAACCAGGATTGACTTTACACTTGCAGCACTTGAACATTATGGTTGACCATTATGAGGACCAGGTTATAGTAAATAAGGGACTAGATGATGATAGACGCAGTAATACCAATGTAAAGGATGAGGATTTTTTATCACAAAGGTCTATGAATAAGAGTCGGCGCTAAAGTAACATTCCTACCAGGATGAGCAGTGAGTGGAGAGATGTGAACTCTGGAGAAAAACAGCGAAAGCTACCAGCAAATTAAATGATTGTCTGAATGTTTAAAGCGTGGACAAACACAATCATCAGAGAACAAACTAGAAATGCCACTAGAAACAGAAAGTTTTATTGTCCACAGGTTTTTGGTTACTATTAACAATGGAGAAGATGTATTGCTAGGAGAGGCATCAGAAAATAGGTGTACACGAGAAGTGCTGAATAGGAAGCAGCTGGGTTTTTCAGGCAGTTGGATATGTGTAGAAACAATCCTTTCTGATTGGGCATGTAAATATAAAGAGTATCTTGGATCTCAAAGCGAGTTACAGTTGACGTTCCCACTGTAGGAAAAGAAGTTTTTCTCAGCTTTTAGCCACATATTCTTGGAAATGTTATTTGACAGCAAAGGGTATGGCTCAGTGACAGAGCAATGTGACAGGTCTGGTAAATGATTGTTGTTCAAATCGCTTTCTTTTCTCTTCCACCCACTCCTTAACAGTTCATTGGCGGCTTGTTAATTTGTGGATTCCTGGTCATTCTGCTTTCCCTGTACTGTTGTAGTCGCTGTCCTTGGTGTGGAATGAGGTATCATCATTACAAGTATGAATATGATAAGAGGTGTGAAGGTAAGAGGCAAAAGCTGATAATGGAGGCATTGGAAAGCAGAGCAGATGATGAAGCAAGAACTCTCTTTGCAAACATGAGCAACGGATTACGTACTTACCTTAATTCTGTTTCTGAGATTCAACGATATCAGAATGGAGATGACACAACAAGTGGGGTAAGTGTCATACAAAGTCAAATTAGTAACTGGTGAAATAATCACGACATGCCGTGAACATAGAGTAAATGTGATAATGTATTTAAAATCAAGCAGCAAGTATGTTTTGAGGTATTGGGTAGTTTTGCATTTGTAGCTCTTCATGGAGCGAGCATACAAAAAGGACATATTTCTAATCTTTAGAACATAAGAACTAGGAGCAGGAGTAGGCCGTCCGGCCCTTCGAGCCTGCTCCGCCATTCAATAAGATCATGGCTGATCTTTTTGTGGACTCAGATCCACTTACCCGCGTTCTCACCGTATCCCTTAATTTCTTGATTGTTAAAAAAAAATCTACCTTATCTTTAAAAATGTTTACTGAAGTAGCGTCAACTACTTCACTGGGCAAGGAATTCCATAGATTAACAACCCTCTGGGTGAAGAAGTTCCTTCTCAATTCAGTCCTAAATCTGCTCCCTCTAATCTTGAGGCTAGGCTGTCTTGTCTTAGCTTCACCTGCCAGTGGAAACATCCTCTCTACTTCTATCTTATCTATTCCCTTCATAATTTTATATGTTTCTGTAAGATCCCCCCTCAATCTTCTGAATTCCAATGAATATAATCCCAATCTACTCAGTCTCTCCTCATAAACCAACACCCTCAACTCCAGAATCAACCTAGTGAACCTCCTTTGCACCCCATCCAGTGCCAGTACATCCTTTCTCAAGTAAGGAGACCAAAACTGCACACAGTACTCCAGGTGTGGCCTCACCAGCACCTTGTACAGCTTCAACATAACCTCTCTGCTTTTAATTTCAATCCCTTTAGCAATGAAGGACAAAATTCCATTTGCCTTCCTAATTACTTGTTGTACCTGCAGACCTACCTTCTGTGATTCATGCACAAGGACACCCAGGTCCCTCTGCATAGCAGCATGCTGCAACTTTTTACCATTCAAGTAATAATCCTTTTTACTATTACTCCTACCAAAATGTATGACTTCACATTTATTTACGTTGTATTCCATCTGCCAGACCTTTGCCCACTCACTCAATGTATCTATGTTCCTCTGCAAAGTTTCACAGTCCTCTGCACACTTTGCTCTGCCACTCATCTTAGTGTCATCTGCAAACTTTGACACCCTACACGTGGTCCCCAACTCCAAATCATCTACATAAATTATAAATAATTGCGGTCCCAACACCGATCCCTGAGGCACACCACTAGTCACTGACTGCCAGCTAGAATAGCACTCATTTATCCCCACTCTTTGCTTCCTGTTAGTCATCCAATCCTCTATCCATGCTAATACTTTACCCTTAACACCATGCATCCTTATCTTATGCAGTAGCTTCTTGTGCGGCACCTTGTCGAAGGCCTTTTGGAAATCTAGGTACACCACATCCACTGGGTCCCCATTGTCCACCTCGCTCGTAATGTCTTCATAGATTCCAAAAGATTTGTCAAGCATGACCTGCCCTTCATGAACCCATGCTGCGTCTGCCCAACAGGACAATTTCTATCAAGATGCCTTGCTATTTCTTCCTTGATAATAGACTCAAGCATCTTCCCCACTACAGAAGTTAAGCTAACAGGTCTATAATTCCCCATCTTTTGTCTACTTCCCTTTTTAAACAGTGGCGTCACATTTGCTGTTTTCCAATCTGCTGGGACTGCCCCAGAGTCCAGCGAATTTTGGAAAATTACCACCAGTGCACCTGCTATTTCTCCCACCATCTCTTTTAGTACCCTGGGATGCATTCATCAGGGCCAGGAGACTTATCAATCCTTAGCTCCATTAGCTTGCCCAACACTACCTCTTCCGTAATTATGATTGTTTCCAGGTCCTTACCTACCTTCATCTCTTTGTCAATTACTGGCATGTTATTAGTGTCCTCCACTGTGAAGACCGATACAAAATACCTGTTCAATGCCTCGGCCATTTCATCATATCCCATAACTAAATTCCCCTTCTCATCCTCTAAAGGGCCAACATTTACTTTAGCCACTCTTTTTCGTTTTATATATTTATAGAAACTTTTGCTGTCTGTCTTTATATTCTGTGCTAGTTTTTTCTCATGTTCTATCTTACTTTTCTTTATAGCTCTTTTTGTGGCTTTCTGTTGACCTTTAAAGTTTTCCCTATCTTCTAGTTTCATGCTGTTTTTGGCCTCTTTGTATGCCTTCTCTTTCAATTTGATAGCCTCCCTTATTTCTTTAGACACCCATGGCAGATTACCCCTTTTTTTACACTTTTCACTGGAATATACTTTCGCTGAGCACTTTGAAAAATTGCTTTGAAAGTCCTCCACTGCTTGTCAACTGTCCCACAAATAAAATCTTTGTTTCCCGTCTACTTTAGCCAAGTCCTCCCTCATTCTTGTTCAAGCACAGGACCCTGGTATTGGATTTTATCTTCACACTCTCCATCTGTATTCTAAATTCAACCATACTGTGATCACTCCTTCCAAGAGGATCCCTAACTATGAGGTCATTAATTATTCCTGTCTCATTACACAGGACCAGATCTAGGATAGCTTGCTCCCTCATCGGTTCCATTACATACTGTTCAAGAAAACTATCACGGATACACTCAACGAACTCCTCCTCAAGGCTACCCTGACCGAGCTGGTTCGACCAATCTACATGTAGATTAAAATCCCCCATGATAATTGCCGTACCATTTTTACAGGCATTAGTTATTTCCTTGTTTATTGCCCGCCCCCAATGTGATGTTATTATTTGGTGGCCTATAGACTATGCCTATCAGTGACTTTTTCCTCTTCGAATTTCTAATTTTCACCCAAATGGATTTAACCTCATTCTCCATAGAACCTATATCATCTCTCAGCACCGCCCTGATGTCGTCCTTGAATATCAGAGCTACACCACCTCCCTTACCTTCCTGTCTGTCCTTCCGAATAGTCTGGTACCCTTGGATATTTAACTCCCAGTCGTGACCATCCTGTAACCATGTCTCCGTAATGGCTACCAAATCATATTCATTCGTGATGATTTGTGCCGTTAACTCATCAACCTTGTTACGAATGCTACGAGCATTCAGGTAAAGTGCCTTTGTGCTCGCTTTTCATACCCTCATGATTTCCAACATCTCTAATAATATCTCTCTCCCCTTCCTGGACCTCTCTGTCTCCATATCGGGCAACCACCTAGAAACCGATATTCATTTCAAGCCCACCGACTCCCACAGC